CCCTCTCCCTTGTAACACTCTGCTCACGAAAGGCACTCGACCTTCACCAGAACATTTGATGAAAGTGGCTTTCAGTGAGCTACACAACTCAAGAATACAGCAGGACCTGTTCATTAGACCATATTCTGTCCTGCAAAAGGCCCATGCAAACCTGCGTCTCCCAGTTTCTTTCGGTCTCCTTTTTGAATGAAAAGGGTGTATCTACATGTTACTAAATATTACCACGTACTATTACTTAATTTCTCTTGACCTCTTCTAATAGGTAATAATTAGAAAAGTTGGATTGAGATTATGAAGAGTCTCGAATGTTGGATTTCATTCTGTAAACGAGAAGCTATTAAAAGTTTAGTTATTTCCCCCCTTATCCGTCTCCACACCCCCTTTCCCAGTCCCATGGGAAAAGGTGTGAGCGCTGTACTAATGAAGGTGGAAAAGAGCTTTTGATCAATTTTTAAACTTCCTGTCCATTAGAACATCACAGCTGGTTAGAAATCATCATAGTACCTAGGTAATTCTAACAATATAAGACATGTATCAGTAGGTGTTTTATGAACACCTGCAGAGTAATTGGCAGATTCTGGTCTGTGAACTGACATTGGCTTCCACTCCACTAAAGAAGTTATTCCTAGGTCAGGGAGCAGATCAGCATGTACCACCAGACCTCTCACATTGTCTCATTAACAGACAAAAATGTGTTTTCTTCCTTCTTGTTTCCTCAGGACCTAACATTATGCTACAATAGGCACTAAACAGATGCCTAAAAGGCAATTATATCTAAAGTATTTGTCTACAAATCTGATATATTGTTCAGAAAAAAACAACAGAACCTAATTTCAAAGTGGCCTACAAAAGCAGTTAATCAAAACTCATTCAGCTGGAATAGCAATTTTGAAGAGGCATAAACAGACAATCACTATGTTTAAAATTTAACTTGTCATATTCCTCCATAACCCAATTCTCACTGTGTAATCTCCACTTCCTTAATGGCACTACCATTCTCCCTCTCTCTCAAATTTAAAATACAGTCATCTTTAAAAAAAAAAAAAAAAGTCATATTTGATTCCTCTTCCTCACATGCAGTTTATTGCTAAATCCTACTCTCCTAAACACTCTAATAATCCTCACTGATTCTATTACCACTACTCTTGTTCAGAATTACTTCTCTCCTGGACTACTTTTATGGGCCCCTGACCTCTCCAGGCATCCTCTCTATCTGCTCTCTAATTCAGGTTACACATGCATAACCGCCAGTTTCATTTTCCTAAAAACCAAGGCTCTGATCTTGTCACTCTTTTACTCCACAACTTAATAGGTTCCTACTGTGTTCTAAATAAAGCTCTAACTCCTAAGTGTGCATACAGTGCATCCATATCCATATCCAGCATCATTCCATTATCGGCCCATTTTACTCACCACTCCCGTTATGTCACATCAAATTCATTTTTTCTGATAATTGCACTCGCATTTAAGCTTTCCCCCATTATGTTCCTTATGCCATGCTACCCTCCTCCCTGGTCCCTTAAAAGACATCCCCAACAGCACTGGTTTTCATCTAGGGGTTTGTCCCTAGGGGCATCTGGCAATGTTTGGAGGGGACACTTGGCAATGTTTGGAGACAGCAGGAGTTGGAGGCTGAGGATGCTGTTAAACTCCCTACAATGCACAGGACAGCCCCCCACAACAAAAAATTATCTGACTAAAAATGTCAACAGTGCTGAAGTTAAGAAACCCTGTCCAACAGATTATTCCCTTATCCTGGCATATAAAAGTAATGTCTCTGTTCTCTAAAAATTCCCAATGTAACGTGATATATTTATCCAGTGTTGCACTATTGCTAAATCTTATACCCCTTATCTCCTCCCCTCTATGCTCATGATGCTTTTATTCAAAGATTATTTACTGAACATCTGTTATGTCTATTAGATGGCAGTCCCAGATAGTAAGCACAAGCACAGGTACCATATCCCAATTATTTCCAGATACCCTATGACGTCTTGCATGCTATAGGTCTGCAATAAGAATTTGCTGAAAGAGGGCAACTCTCTCTGTGCTTCATTTTGTACCTAAAAACTCAACAATTCTGATATTAATGTACAGGAAGAAAGAGGTTACATACACCTATTGACATCTACTAAAATTCAAAATGGCCATTTCTACGTTTCTCACTAAAAATGAAATTAACAGGAGGGCACCTGGGTGGCTCAGTCATTAAGCGTCTGCCTTCGGCTCGGGTCAAGATCCCAGGGTCCTGGGATCAAGCCCGCATCGAGCCCCGCATCTGGCTCCCTGCTTGGCGGGAAGCCTACTTCTCCCTCTCCCACTCCCCCCGCTTGTGTTCCCTCTCTGTCAAATGAATAAATAAAATCTTTAAAATAAGAAAAATTTAAAAAATAAAAAATAAGTAAAAATGAATTAACAGGGGGTCATGAACCCACTGAACAAGTTGTCAGTTAAAAATATTTCATAATAGGGGCACCTGGGTGGCTCAGTCGTTAAGCGTCCGCCTTCGGCTCAGGTCATGGTCCCAGGGTCCTGGGATCGAGCCCTGCATCAGGGTCCCTGCTCAGCGGGAAGCCTGTTTCTCCCTCCCCCACTCCCCCTGCTTGTGTTCCCTCTCCTGTTGTGTCTCTCTCTGTCAAATAAATAAATATAATCTTTAAAAAAAATTTTTTTTCATAATAATCAATTAAACCTCTAACAATTAAAATCAACATTAAATAACTTAATAGCCTGAAAAGGACTTCCAGAAACTTTTCTAGTATGCAATAAAATATGCTTAGCTATGTATATTACCTTATACTGCTACAATAATTTTAATTTTTCCAATAATATATCTTAGCATTTTCCTGAAAAAATAAATAACTGCTGGAAAATATCTTTTAAACAGTGGTTAAAAGCCAATATAGTCCAGGTGCTCAATTAATTTAATGAAAACCCTTCCTCCCCTCAAATTTCATACATTTGTCTACATCTGAAAATAAAAGAGGAATAAAGATGATCTCTAAGGCCAAATGGGGAAGTAATGTGAAAATGTACTATAAACGATCAGGCCTCCAGCAAATACTACCATTCCTCAGTATAACACAAAGGAAAGTACATAGTTATCAAGCAGAATGGGATTGGAATTTCTGCTTAGTAGCTGTGTAGTTCTGTGAGAATTAACTTACACTTCTAAGCACAATCAAAAATGAAAATAATGCCAAGGTTATTGTGAGACTTTAAGGCTAACATTTACTAAATGCCTAGAAGGGGCGCCTGGGTGGCTCAGTCGTTGAGCGTCTCCCTTGGGCTCAGGTCATGATCCCAGGGTCCTGGGATCCAGCCCCGCATCGGGCTCCCTGCTCCACGGGAAGCCTGCTTCTCCCTCTCCCACTCCCCCTGCTTGTGTTCCCTCTCTCGCTGTGTCTCTGTCAAATAAATAAATAAAATCTTTTAAAAAAAAATGCCTAGAAGACAAAAAGCTACTATAGTTTTAACATTCATTCAACAATCACTCCCTGGCTGAAATCCCTCCAACTAACCACAGTAATCAGAAGAAACTCGAAACTCCACATGTAAACATAGAAGATCCTAAAGGATCTGGCTTCTATCCCTCTGACCTAATCTCCCACTCTTGCACTTGCTCAATGCGCTCTAGACATCCTTACAGCCCTGAAACAAGCCAAGCACTTTCCATCTCTGCCCTCTGCTTATTATACAGATCTCTGCACTGCCCACTCAATAGTCAGATCTTGGTTCAAAGCTCCTAAGCCCTCTTGACCACCCGAAGTCATTACTCAATGCCCCTACTGCCCACTTTCTACCCTATTATCTTGTTTTATATTGCTTTTTCCTGCACTGAAATTGGTAACTTCAATTTCTTTTCCCTTAGTATGTAAACTTGAAGGATAGGACTTTTGTCTTTTCAACCCTCTATCTCCCAGGCCTAGCTCCAAGGCCAGGCTAAGGCAGGCAAGTGGGACACCATCACTAAGGTGCAAAACTTAAGGGGATGCCCAAGTTTCAGTAATCCAGAAAAATACTAATTTAAAGCAACATTCTAAAAGACGAAAAGTAATGCAGAACACCATGATGAATTCATTATCACAATTCTGCACAAAGCGGATCCACCCAGCACTTGGCAGAACTCACCCCATCTCAGCCCTGCCTCACCAGGACTTGCCACCAATTTAACTGAACACTTAGCCGAAAGTCAAGTATTAACTCTCCCTAAGGCTGCAGAAAAGCAAGAGGGAGAGGGCTTTTTGGGGCTTAAACCCCGTGGCTTCACTGGGCTGTGGCCAAAAAGCTGAGTGCAAGGAATGTACTCTCACCACTTAAGTGCACACTCTGAAAAGTTCGGCATGACTAATAATATGGTGCCAGTTGTCATCGAAGACTTAATAAATACTTCAACCCATTCCCTTGCCTTGAGGCCTCCAGCCCTAGGGTGTGGGAACTGGAACTCTTACGGCAGGACGTTTCATAAATTTATTTTGTTGCAGGACTACTGTCTCCTGCGTTTGGACCCTGAAGTAAATAAACAAAAACCCAGAAAAACGTAGATACAAGTTTAATAAACTTAACGTCCGTACAAAGCAGTGGTGGCTGGAGAACTGTGGTTGAAAATACAAATAAATACGCTTACAAGAAAGAAGTGACCGTCCCACCCTCACCCCCGCGGGAAGAAGGCCCTTGGGAGACGCGGCCCCAGGTCTCCAGCCACACCAGCCGCTAGACCCGCCATACGCGCAGGAAGCCACGCGCATCCACCCACTTGCTGCCCGCTCCTCCGCGGGAGAGAGACGTGGGGGGTCCCCAGCGCGCAAGCGCCACCCCGCCAACTCTGCAGCCACCGCCCGCCACAGACGCCTGCGCAAACGCATAGGGCGGAAGGAGGGGCGAAACAGAGAGAGAGAGAGGAGCGCGCCTAAATCCTAGAGAGGCGGGCTAAGAAGGGCTGGGGGTGGGCTCGTCTTCCGGAAAGTTTGGATTCCCGGACGAGCGGAGTCGCCGCTCACCAAACATCCGCTTGTGTGCTGATCGAAGAAAGTCGGCTACCCTTTGTACCCACTGGAGATCTTCAGACAGAAGCCGGAGCTGCCTTCAGGATGAAATTAGGACTTGCAGGAAACCTCTTCCCAAGACGGAAGGAAGCGTGGCGGGTTCACGCATGCGTGGTAGGCTACCTCCACGTGCGGCCTGGCCGCGGCCTCCCCGCGCTCGGAGGCCTCGCCCCTAGGCCCGCCCCCTCGCTCTGCATCTTTCCGGACGCGCGGAGCCGGGAAGAAGGAGGGAGGTTGGGCCTCACAGCTCGGCCCCGCCTCGGCAGCCTCCAATTGGGCGTGGGTGAGGACGCCCCTTCCCACCGCCTTCCTATTGGAGCGCGCGTGCGAGCAACGCACCCCATTGGGCCGTACGGATTTGGGCACCAAATTCAAAGATTTTAAAAGTACCAGCTGGCGCCTTTTAGGAGATCGAGTTCTGTGAAGCGGACGACCGGTCTTCTGCGGTGGTAGCTGTTTCCTCACCTGAGGCAGACCCCACTTCCACTGGCATGAGCCAGCGCCCCTGCCGCTGCTCCCCACGGCCCCCCTCCAGCTCCTGCCGCTGCAGCGCCCTGACAGCCGCCGGGCGCCCTCGCCCCTCAGACGGTGAGTGAGGAGAGGGTGCGGGCGGCACGCGTTCCAGGAAGGGGGTGCGGGGTTGGGGAGCAGCCACGACCGAGCCCGACCCCCTCCCGAGTCCGGGCGTGCACCCCACGCCGGGCCGGGCCGAGCGGGCCGAGCGGGCGTCGGCGGCCGTTCCTGGGGCAGGGGGAAAAGAAGGCTGGGCTCAGGGAGGGGAGGCCGTAAGTGCGAGGCGGGTGGCGGGCCCGGGTCCCTCCTTCCACGCGGAACCTGGACGCCAGCTCCGAAGGGGGCGAAGGCCTCGGCCTTTCAGGGCGTCCTGTTCCCCTTTCAGGACCTACCTGTCCTTGTCCCCACCCCGCTTGAGAGGCGCCAAATGCCCCCTCCCCTCCCCCCCCGTGGGGCCTGGGCTCTGACAGGGCTCGCGAGCCGCCGGCCCCCGGGGTCCGGCCGGGTGCCTCAGCCCCACTCCCTGCGCCCCTTTGCCGGGTTTACCCCGCACCCTCGGGTCCGCGGGCAATTTCCCTGAGTTTTCGCCGCCTCACTCCTGCTGGCGGGCGCGGGAGATCCTGCTGGCTTATCTCCCGCCTCCTCCACCCGGCCCGCGCCCTGAGGGGCCACCTCTTCGACCCCTCGGGATTTCCATGGTCTTACCCCTACCCACTCCCGCCAAATGGAGGGACCCCCTCATCGGGCCAAGCTGTACAAGGAGGTCCGAACAAAAACTTATTTTTTACCCCCCCTCTCCATTTTTCCCTTTGCGCAGTAACTCGTTTTCAAGGCCTGGGGTCAAAAGGAGGAACGGGGGGGGGAGAGCACTTTTTAGTACAAAACGGTGAATTTGCCCTTATATAGCTGATTTTCTGAGAATTGAAGAATTGGTTAATTTTTTTTCCTGCGCTCCTGAAGAACTAGTCCTTTATTCCCAAACTCGGTTAGAGTGGAAGGCACTCAAACGGATATTTTTATCCTCTTTGTTGCTATCTGAAAAAAGATCCAAATGCATTTATTTTGCCTCGGAAAGTACCAATTTTTTTTTTTTTTTTTAATTAGCGATTCGATTTTGTGATATTTGGCAGTCACTGAAAGATGCTCCTTTCATTAGAAAAGAAGCCTAGAAGGCTCGAGGAAAAAATAACTTTAACAGGTTAAATCTATTTCCAGAAGATCCTCAATCAAAAGCCTCCCCATGAAGTTCTGAAGCTTGATGGTTTTAAGAAGTAGTATTTTGATTATTTGATCCAATCGTCTGGTATTACCACCTTGCTCCTCAGAATATTTGCAATCTCCATGAATTTTATTCCCTTTTTACAAATTTGAGAAAATGAGATTAAAAGTTTATTGCATCCAAGTATTTCTGAAGGCGGGCTTTCCTAAAATTTCTCTTAGAGATGGCTGATTTGCAGTTTATGGCTGCAAGCCTTGGGGGTCTCAGACTTTTAAGGAATAGCCATGCCTAACATTGGGCACATGGTGATAATCTTATAGGTATCGCAGACTGTAGAACTTAATCATTTCACATTGGGATAGTTGTAAAAGTTTTTAAGCGTTGTAGCCTATGTAACTATGGTATTTTAATATGGAGCATTTGCTCTGACTTGGAAAGTTAAATGGAAGTCAAACTTTGTACAGTTAACTATAATACCACCTTTTCATGATTGGACAGTGTGTTGGTAAATGAGATTTTAAAAATGCAGCATGTTGAATCTTCACCCAACAACATGAGGTAGATATTAGTATCTCCATTTTAGAAAAAATGAAAGGAACTAATTGAATATTTTATGTCACAAAGCTAGTCAAAAGACTAAGCAAATATTTTTACTTGAAGTTGGATCTGATTCCTAGAAAAAGTATATAATCTGGAATACAGTGTGGAATGTATTTTGCTACTTTTAAAACGTTTGTGATTTGCAGTAAAAGCATTATGAAAGGATTTGGTTTAAAAATGTGATAAAAATACCATATGTGATGGGACTCTGCCGTACATTTAGTCCAGTTTTATGTTCTTAACCCCATTTTGTAGGTGAGAAAACAGGCTTTAAAAGTTAACTGCCTCAGTTTTCCCTGATTCAGCAAATAACACTTTATACCTTAGATGCTCAAGACTTAAACCCCAGGGTATTTTTTTTTATTTCACTTTCTCTCATTCAACATCCAAAGCATCAGCAAGTTCTGTTGACTCTCCTAAATAGATCTCAGATCCACCCACTTATCTTCATTTCCACTGCAGTCATCCTGGTATCAGTTACCCAGCGCTCTGGATATCTGTGATACTACTAACTAGCCTTCCTCTTTCCACTTGTACCTTCCTACAGTCCGTTCTCTACAGTTGCCAATGATCTTTTGAAAATGAAAACCGGATGTCAACCCCTCAAGGCTCTTTATTACACAGTGAATAAATCCAACGTACCCTAAAATTCTACAGACCATTTTACCTCTCCAATTTTAAAGTATATTACATAATAAAAAAAATAATAAAGTATGTTACATAATTTCACATTTTAAAACTAGACCTACAACCAGGATCCAGATTTTGGAACCAATAAAAGGAACCAGAGTTCTTGGAGAAATACTTAATTCTAGGGCTGGAACAGGCAAAATACAAGATGAGCCTAGAGCATCTTTTCATGCCAGAAAGTAAGAAATGCTCCAAAAACGAAATAATGGAAGTATTTCAAGTGGACATGAACTTAACAGTAGTGGAAGCTGAAACAATTTGATCAGCAACATTAATAAGGCAATACTGGATTATAACCCAAAGTCTGTGAACCTATACTTTATACTTTTTTTATATACTTTTATCTCACTTTCCAAGTGAGGTAGTGGAATGAACACTGAATTATAGTCAATAAGGGTAATCTGTCTCTCTTAACTACGTGTCAAAATGTGGGCAAGCTACTTAACTGAGCTTCAGTGTCCTCATTTATAAAAATAAGGTAATAATACCTCTTCATCCTACATCAGAAGGTTGTGAGCAAGTGTTTGAAAACAAATTGGAATTGTAAACTTCTAAACAATTATAAGATGTTTGAATCATCAAGTCTAAGTTTTAAAGAGCTGTTCATATTCAAAGTGTGGTATTGAATGAAAGGGTTCTACAACAAACATAGTTTCCCAGTAACTGGGTTCTAAAGATGAGCAGAAGAAGGGCGACTAGGTGGCTCAGTCAGTTAAAGTGCCTGCCTTCGGCTCAGGTCATGATCCCAGGGTCTTGGATCAAGCCCCACATTGGGCTCCCTGCTCAGCTGGGAGCCTGCTTCTGCTGCTGCCTGCCGCTCCTCCCGCTTGTGCTCTCTCCCTCTCTCTCTCAAATAAGTAAAATCTTAAAAAAAAACAACTTATGAGCAGAGGAAGAATGCCTTTGAAAAGAATTAAGTTTCTGAAGTACAGTTTCAGGCCTCTTCCCTTTAGGCAACTAAACAGTAAAACATGTCTTTGTTAGGTGGCTTCTACTTTTTTATCCTCAAATAGAATGTGGCCGTATGTAAGTTGTACTTAATTCTTGAGGCAAAAATTAAAACAATCTCCTGGAATTTTTTAATCTCTTGGGTGGAAGAGAACCACTCAGAATAATTTGTTCTAGAATTATGGTTAATGTTGGTGTTAGAAAATGTATATTCTTTATTTGCTTTTTGTGTCCTTGAACTTAGTTTGAAACTAGTTTTTAGGGCTAGTCCAAGGTTTAATGGAGTCCTGGAGCATATACTCTTTCACTGTGTTAAACATTGGGAATTTAAAGAGACTACCTACCTACAGATGGCCTTTTAGTACTTAAAGGTTTTGCTCTAAATAAAAACTGTAAAATTAACATGGACAGATTACCAATACTTGGTACAGACTAACAGTACTGACTGGTACATACACTGACAGGATAAATTGTTAACTACCTATGATTGGCTTGCAGGGGGAATAGTAGGTATGGAATACATTTGAAGCATATGCAGTTCATATACTCTGCCTTCAGTAATACTAAGTAATTTTCCTGAACCCATCTACTATATTCCTTCTCAGAATTGTGCTTTTGCTCAAGTTAACCTTAAGTGAATGCTTTTTGCAACCTCTACTGCCTGACAAAATCCTAGTCATCCTTTAAAGCAGAGGTTCTCAACTGAGGAATGGCAGAGATTTTGACACCACTGCCTCCCCCAACCCATCATTTGTCAATGGTGACTGGAGACATTTTTTATTGTGCTTCAGGGGGTAGGGGTTGCTGATGGCATCAAATGGGTAAAGAAGCCTGCTGCACATCCTAAAACGCCCAGAACAGCCCCCAACAACAGAGAATTATCCAGTCTAAAATGTTAGTAATGCAGAGATTGAGAAACATGGCTATAAAGGTATTTTTAAGTGCTGCCTGTTAGCTGTAGCTTGGCTGATTTCTTTAGGCCATGGGGGTGGTGATACAACCCTAAACAAGTCTTTGGCTTTTTTGAAGCTTAAATTTGAATTCTATGAAGTATGAATTCTAATGAATAATATCCAGAAATAATGGCATGGTTTGTTAATAGTATCATTATTGGTTTTTCCCTTTTATGCTACTTACCATAAATAGCAAGTACATTATCTTCTCTAGTTATTTAAAATAACTGAACAGTAATGCACACTTGCTGCCCAACCACCCTCACATTCTTCTATCTTATACTGATTATAGTATTGTTCTTATTTACCAAATCTTCTGATTGGTACCTGAACTATTAATTCCTCTGGCTCTTTGGTTAATTAGTCATGAGAAATCTTCGTTCAGTAATTGAAGATCTCAGAGTTTCTATTTCTAGCACATAATAGATAGAGGAGATAAAGGGAGATGTCTCTGTGCTTGAGTTCACTATTCAGCAGAGTAGACAAACACCTTAATTATATCAGATTCACCCATACCACTGATCCAGATAAAACTTAGAAAGTTGTGGGAGTTCAGGTAGATTTTAACTGATTGGTGTTTAACTTTATTGACTTTGAGTTCTTTCTCTAAGCTTACTTACAGATTTCTTGATTAATTATTGTAAGGCTTATAATAAATGGCTAAGATCTAAATCTTAAACATTTATTACTTTAAGGATTTCTCTGACTCCAGACCCCACTCAATGTATCACATTTCCTTATTTGTTCCATAAGTACAGATATGTGTTAAATAGTCCCTTTCTCCAATATTTTTTACTCAATCAGCTAGAGACTCTAAAAGTCAAATGTTACAATTATACACTAAAAGCAATCTTTTGAAGTCCCCTTTTAAGAATAAGATGTACTGGGGTGCCTGGGTGGCTCAGTTGTGAAGCTTCTGCCTTCCGCTCAGGTCATGATCCCAGGGTCCTGGGATCGAGCCCCACATCAGGCTCCCTGCTCCACGGGAGGCCTACTTCTCCCTCTCACTCTCCCCCTGCTTGTGTTCCCTCTCTCACTCTCTGTCAAATAAATGAATAAAATCTTAAAAAAAAAAAAAAAGAATAAGATGTATGTACTTACTAAAAGATTTAAGTACTATTTCCTCATTGTCACATCTCAGTAAATAAACTTGAATAATTTCATAGCTACATAGGTAATACATAATACTGAGAGAATGGAAAGTAATTTTATCTCTATATCCCAATTTAAGAAATAGAGATGTATGAAAATTTTGTCATTAAGTAAATGGTTTTTTGTTGTTTTGTAGGTTGTAAAGAAGAAAGTTCTACTCTTTCTGTCAAAATGAAATGTGATTTTAACTATGACCATATTCATTCTGGACTTAAATCGGTAAAGCCTGATGACACTGGAAGACTAGGTTCCTATACTCCTGGATATTTGGAAGGTTCTTATGAAGACTGCATTAAAGACTATGTAAGGTTATCAGATATTGGGTCACCAGTTGTGAGCCCCAGGATTGTAGAAGTTGAAACTGAAAATGAAAACAAGCCCTTTCATAACAAAGAAAATCAACGTGTGCAACAAATACTTAATAGTTCAAGTGAAACAGTAGAACTAGAGACCAGTGGACCTTATGAAGACAGTGGCTATTCTTCATTTTCTCAGCAAAGTGGCTTCAATGAACATGAAGAGGGTAGCCTTCCCTTGGAGAATTTCAGTGACAGTCCACAATCCTGCTTACAGATGCAAAGCCCAGACCAATATCCCAGCAAAAACTTGCTGCCGGCTCTTCATTTTGCAAAAATGGTTTGTTCAACATTAAAAAAGAATGCCAAGCGAAATCCTAAAATAGATTGGGAGAAACTAAAGGAATTTATATCCAGTGAAAATTTTAAACTACATAATATAATTGGCAGGAAGATGGGCCTAGAATGTGTAGATATTCTCAGTGAACTCTTTCGAAGGGGACTCAGACATCTCTTAGCAAATATTTTAACACAGCTCAATGATATGGACTTAATCAAGTAAGTATGATTACTTTTGAGTGTTAGTATAATCCATTGAACATTTTTGTTGGATGATTTGGGACTACCAACTCATGCAAAGACATAATAGGGTAGTCTTTTGCATTGTTTAATTGAGGTAATGACTGCCTAATGGCTGGTATTTGACCATTTATATGCCACTAAGATGAAAGAAAGATAACTTTTTAAGTAAACATTTAATCCAATTATTTCACATTTCATATTTATGCAATATTAGGAAACTATTTTTGTTAAATTGGGATTTTTGTCCCTTTTAGTTGTGAAAATTTCTAATATATAAGAAATTTTCAGCTATTTATCATATATGTTTAACTATAAAACAACATCCTAGTTCTGGTGTATAGGACCAGTAGGCTTTATGACTTCTGTCATACTTGAAAGTAAGAAATAGTTGCTGATGTTTGTAGGCCATTTTTAATGTAGGCTCTCCTTGGGTTTGACAGTGAAAATATGGAAACCCGCAAATGATCTGATTTTAACTATTTCTTAGAAACCTTGGGCGCCTGGGTGGCTCAGTTGGTTAAGCGACTGCCTTCGGCTCAGGTCATAATCCTGGAGTCCCGGGATGGAGTCCCGCATGGAGTCCCGCATGGGGCTCCCTGCTCGGCAGGGAGTCTGCTTCTCCCTCTGACCCTCCCCCCTCTCATGTGCTCTCTCTCATTCTCTCTTTCTCAAATAAATAAATAAAATCTTTAAAAAAAAAAAAAAAGAAACCTCATCCTTCCTCATTCCACCAAAGATCAGTTAGGATGAAGTAACAGAATTAAGTTAATTATACAGACCACTGGATTAGAGCCTGATCAATCAGATTGATTCATTTTTTAGCTTTTTGAAAAAAAAAATTAGAGGTACTCTTTGCAAGTGTTACTTCACACTGGTCTTTATAAAATATAGCTAAAGCAAAACAAAATTGAGTATGGATTTTTATTGTTGGCTAGCTTCTTGAGGGATAATTGACATCTAGGTTGTACTTTTTTTGTTAACAAAATGGGTTTTTGAAATTGATGTCTACTGATAGCAGTGTGTCCTACAGTACTTTGAAATTTGGCTACAACTTTTATTGATACTGAATGGCTAACATGGTGTCATATACAATGGGGGCTACTTACTTGGTGATGCAGATGTTGTGAAAAAATGAAGTATAAAGCAATAGTTCTTAAGCCTGGATGCTCTTAGAATGACTTGATAGGGAGCTTTTAAAAATAATCCTAATCCCCTTTTTAAGCCAGTTAAACCCAAATGACTAGGCCTGGGGCATCCTTAAATCTTAAGTACCTCAGGCAATTCTAATGTATAAACAGGTTTGAGAAGCACTACTAATAGAAATTTCTTTTTTGCACTGTTAATGTTTCTGCAGTATATTTATTCCTTTTAGCTCTTTGCGACACTTTAACTGTTTCCTTTATAATCTTTTACTTTTCCAGTATGTCTAAAGTGAGCACAACTTGGAAGAAGATTCTAGAAGATGATAAAGGGGCATTTCAGTTGTACAATAAAGCAATACAGAGAGTTACTGTAAGTCTTTGCAGTTGATGTTTTCATTTTAAAATATAACAGCTAGTGCTCTTTACCTTTACAAATAGGGAAAACTGGGACAGATAACAGGTAATCGGGAAATCCTTTACATTCACAAAGCATTTCTGCTTTTCACTAGAACTCCTTAAACAAAATTCAAAGATAAAGGGAAAGGAATCCCACCTAAGTCATTTATTTCTTGAGTTCTTCCTGGAAACGGAATGTCCAAAAGGGAAAATTGGTCAGTTCTCCAATAATAGGAGTTGACCATATAGCTAATCTTCATTGCCATTTGTATTTTTTCAGTTAAATTTTCAACATATTGAAGATTTTTAGTGCAGAAGGGAATTCATTTGCCTTCCAAAATGAACTTGGTAAATTTGGAGATGTTCCTGAGGGTATCAATACATGTTTGAAATTTCAGGCCTAGCAGTTGGCAGACTTGGGTCTAAATTTTGGTGCTGCTACTTATATGCTGGATAACTTTAAAGTCCAGTATTGCTTAAGTTCTCCAAGTTCAGAGTCTTTATTAATAAGGTGATATTAGTGGAAGGTTTTCTAATCTAAAAGGTTGTTTTGAATCCATTCATGACACTGATGGGACACTTAAACGTGACTTGCCATTTACTGGTGGTGAAAAGAATGACTTTGTTTTGGCATTAGTACTTTGTAAATGATGTACTTAATGCTATATAGGCTAAGTACTTAAAGTGCTTTCTCACAATTTCTGGTTTGCAATTTCTGTCAGTATTGTCTCTGTGTATAGTGTGTGGCTGTATTTAAAGCATGTGCAGGTAAATTGGATGTACAGATAAATTTTTACATTCTCATTTGCCCTTTTTTACATGTTCAAACAATAAAAATGCCTGATTGTTGAGAATAAAAGAGAATATTTTTAAGTCCTGTTAAAACATTTCTTTTAATTAGGAAAAGAACATTAAGTTTTCACCACATGCTTCAACAAGAGAATATACTATGTTCAGAACCGCATTAGCTTCTGTTCAAAAATCAGCAGCCCAGACTTACACTCAAAAAGGTGCTCAAACCAAGTTATCCGATCCAGGTGATCAGAAAGATTGTACTTACAGCCGACACAATGAATTCTCTGAGGTAATTTTTTGTTTGTCAATAAATTAGAAACTTATGGGACACTTACTGTTAAAAGGATTTAGAGTAAGAAACAGAGAACTTTAAATTTAATTGTAGCATAATTAGAACTAGGGACTTGTTAATGGGGATTTTATCTTCTGTCCCCTTCATTCTACTTTCAGAAATGTTGGCCACCAAGAAACCATTTCAAGTAATTGATTTCCTAATTCAAGTAATCAAATTAGGAAAGTACACAAAGATGTCTTTCTGTGTAGAAAATAAATACCATTTGACATCGTTTATGACGGTTCAGTGATGTTTAAGATCAAATTTGGAAATACTAAGAGAACCTTGATTTTAAAATTTCTTACCAAACTGTTCAGTATACATTTTACAGTTGCTGCCTTTGATATCTGAGGAACAGAAAAAGGCCAGCTTTCAGAAATTGAAGCCTTCCTATTGTACCTTCAAATCATTGGGTGATGTGTATTATAAGTTCTACTCAGCACATGGATAATTTGGCAAGCTTAATTTAAGAAACCATAATCTTACCTAAGAGTGCATATTTGAAATAAAATGTTGACTGCTGACTGCCTGCATGTTGGTCAGTTAAGTATGAATTATATATAGTCAAGTTTAATTTTCTGTCTTAAGTGTTGATGATGTAATGACTAATACAACATGTAACTTTATTCAGAAAACATATTGAGCATCTGCTGTCAGGTAATTCATGGATAAGAAAACATGGCACCCTTCATAGCCTTGCAATCTAGAATGGACAGTGGCTACATAAAAATAAATGCCATAGGGGCGCCTGGGTGGCTCAGTTGGTTGAGCGACTGCCTTTGGTTCAGGTCATGATCCTGGAGTCCCGGGATCGAGTCCCGCATCGGGCTCCCTGCTCGGCGAGGAGCCTGCTTCTCCCTCTAACCCTCCCCCCTCTCATGTGCTCTCTCTCTCTCTCTCATTCTCGCTCTCTCAAATAAATAAATAAATCTTTAAAAAATAAATAAATAAATGCCATATAATGTGATAGGTGCTTCTAAAAAAAAAAAAAAGAACTAGAGGTTAAAGAGCAACCAATTCCCAAGTGACACTAGGAAGGCTTCACAGTAAAGGTGACATTTAAGTTAGGGCATTGATGTGTAAGTAGCATTCAAGGAATAAAAGAGAACATATTTAAAAGTAGCATTAGGAAATAGCCACTAGATCAGTTGACAAGTGATAATTATCTCACTCATTGAACAGTGAGCTCCTTAAGGGCAGGAGTTGTCTTATGTGTAGCATGGGTCCTTTATTCATATATTGGGGAAGGTTCAGAGGTACCTTTCTTGTTTTTTCTACCTAAATTACATTCAGTCCTCATTAAAATTTGATTATGGATTTTCTTCTTTCTAGGTTGCCAAGACTTTGAAAGGGAATGAAAGCCTTAAAGCCTGTATTCGCTGTAATTCACCAGCAAAATATGATTGCTATTTACAGCGGGCGATCTGTAAAAGAGAAGGCTGTGGGTTTGATTATTGTACAAGGTGTTTGTGTAATTATCATACCACCAAAGAATGTTCGAATAGCAAACCCCTAAAAGCCAATTATAAAATAGGTCCTCTACCTGGTACTAAAAAAAGCAAGAAGAATTTACGACGATTGTGATGTCTTGAAATCAATTGTACCTGATCATGAAAGTTAGTTAGAAAATGTTTAGGTTTTAATTTAAAAAACGTAAATGTATTTTCATTTCCAATTTTGTGTTGAAATCAATGTAGTACATGGGATTTTTTGCCCTGGTGAATAAAGAGAGTATACAGACAGCCTCTTAAAATATTTTAAAATTTAATGTTAAAAAGTTTAAAATTTGGTATAAATCAGAAAATTTAAAATATTTTAAGAAAAAAGGAAAACTATCTGATATTTGTGGTTCAGGGATAAAATAAAACTGATTTCAATTTTTATGCTAAAGGAAAGCCATGTAATTTTACCTAGATAATCTTAAATATATATCTTGTTTACCATCTGTTAGCATTTGAGACATTTTATTTGCCTTACCAAATTAATACCTATTGAAATAACTTCTGGAGTCTATTAATTTAAGTGTTTTGTCATCTTTCTTTAACCTCTTTCTCAGTGTGTATATTTCCCAAAAAGTACTCTTTGTGAAATCTTTTTCCTATTTGTAAAGTCTGTATGTTTTAATATTTTTGTACATATGTAAATATTTCTGTATTATTTTTTTATGTCAGAGTAAAATAAAGATCTCTTGTGTATGTATATACCTGTAAATTTTGTACCTGTTATGAATAAAATTGTTACAAGCTTAATAAGTACTGTGAACTTTTTACTTTGATAACATCTTAATCTTAGAAACAACTAAATTAGGAAACCAAGAGACTGCATTTGTATGTGTGAAGGCATTAAGTTGGTTCCATTTGTGTCTGCTCATCTGGGAATCTTGTGACATTCCCAGGTTCCATTTTGATCCCGGTATTCTCCCACTCCCAGTATTTAGTAGTTGTGGAGTTGGGTCTTGAAATAAGCATCCCAAGATGATTCAATGCGAGACCAAGGAACACTTTGAGAAATACTAATGTATTAATTCATCTATTACTAAACTAATTAAAACTATGGGTTAAATAGCTACATAAAAATACTAGAAAGATTAAAAATATATAAAATAGAATGTTATCTTTGACTGCATTCAGAAAATTTGTGCCTAATAAGAGCCCAAGACAAGGGTACATACTTTTTTTATTCCTTAATTCTAGAGTTGAATATGTTTTGGTTTCAATTATGAATATGGAGAAATTCTAAGAGTTTGAACTCAAAAGTCCTAAAGGTTTAAGGGTGGGCCTCAGATCCTCTCAATAGAGCTTCAAAGGCTTTCAAGGCCTTTGCTTTTCATCTCAGTGAACACCTGAGATAGAGGATTTATCTTAAATGGATTTATGGGTGTGTCTTATCCAGTAAAACTGCCTATGAAATTATCGGTGATGTAAGCAACTTGAGGTAAGATTGACAAAATGGACAACATTCAAAGTATAATTTGGCATTTTGATGTATATACATTCATGAAGCCATCGCTACAATTAAGGTAATGAACAGAAGTATCCCCAAATTTCTTCCTGTCCATTTGTAATCCCACCTCAGTTCCCAGGTAATCACTGATCTGTCACTGTTGATTAGTTTGCCTTTTCTAGAATTTTATATAAATGGATTAGATTAGTCAGAGTACATACTTTATTATTTTGAGATTCATCCATTTTGTGCGTGCCAGTATTTATAATCCTTTTTCTTACTAAGCAGTATCCTGTTGGATATACCAGTTTGTTCATACATTCACCTCCTAATGAACATTTGCCTCCTGCCCGCCACCCCATTTTTTGCTATTAGAAATGAAAATGCTGTAAACCGTGTACAAGTCTTTGTAAGATAAGTGGTGTGCTTTCATTTCTCTTAAAAATAGTAGTGGAATGTTTGGATTATATAGGTAAATGTATATTTAACTTTTTAAGAAAATATCAAAATGCTTTCCGAAGTTATACATTTTACATTTACCAGCAGTGAAGGGAGTTGCATTTACTTAATGTTCTCAACAACACTTGGTATAGTCAGTCTTTGTAATTTTAATCATTCTAAGAGGTGTGTAGTAGTATATCATTGTTTTAATTTACATCTCCCTAGTAACATGTTTAACATATTTTTGTGTTTGCTATCCGTAAATTTTCTTTGGTAAAGTATATAGTCAAATGACTTGTTTTATTAGTGGTATTTGAAGATATATATTTTAGATAAGAGTGGTATATCAAGGTGTGCTTATCTTTCATTTTTTTAGCTGTGCCTTAGAGTTTTTATTTTTGATGAAGTCCAAATTATCTAAGTATTTGTCTCTTATGGATCATGGTTTTGGTGTTATATCTAAAATATGCCTAATCTAAGAGCATACAGATCTATGCTTTCTTCTAGAAGTTTTATAGTTCTCATTTCCACATTTAGGTCCATGATCCACTTGTTAAATTTTGAATATAGTATAAGAGGTATGGGCCAAAATAAGTATCCGCTTGTTCCAGCACCATTTGTTGACAAGACTACCCTTTCTCTACTGAAGACTTTGCATCTTGGTAAAAATCAGTTTTACATAAATATGAACTATTTCATGACTCTATTCTGTTTAATGGATCTATTTGTCTCTCAAGCTCCAAACCCACACTACCTTGATAACTATACTTAAAATAAGTCTTGAAATCAGGTAGTGACATAATTCTTTTTCTTTTCTTTCAAAAAAATTTTTTTGAGTTGCTTATCCTAGGTCCTTTGCATTTCTACATATATTTTTTAATTATCTTGCTAGTTTTTACAAAAATACATGATGGAATTTTGATTGGGATTGTAATGAATCTATTAATCTATTAGATTAGATTAGCAGAGAATTGACATCTTGAGTTTTTCAACCCTTGAACGTAGTTCTATTATTTACGTCTTTAAAAGTTTCTCTTAACAATGTTCTTTTAGTGGTACATGCCTTATACACCTTGTGTCAGATTTATCCCAAAGTAGTTTATATTTTCAGTGGCATTTTTAATTTCAATTGTTTCTTGTTAGTATATTGAAATGCAATTGGTTGATCTTGTATCCTACAATCTTGCTAAACTCACTTATAATTGAGAAGCCCATCAGATTTTCAGTGTAGATGATTTTTGTCTTCTGGATATAAAGACAGTTTTATTTCTTCCATTGTAGTCGATGTGTCTTTTATTTCTTTTTCTTGCCACATTATACTGGCTAAGACCTCCAGGAAAATGTTCAATAGAAATAAAAAAGACATCTTTATCTTGTTCCAGATGTTAGGGGGAAAGCATTCAGAATGACGATAGTTGTCGGTTTTTTATAGATCCTCCTTATCAAGTTGAGGAAGGTTTTTTTTTTAATTTTTTATTGTTATGTTAATCACCATACATTACATCATTAGTTTTTGATGTAGTGTTCCATGATTCATTGTTTGTGCATAACACCCAGTGCTCCATGCAGAACGTGCCCTCTTTAATACCCATCACCAGGCTAGCCCATCCTCCCATCCCCCCCCCCAGAACCCTCAGTTTGTTTTTCAGAGTCCATCGTCTCTCATGGTTCGTTTCCCCCTCCGATTTCCCCCCTTCATTCTTCCCTTCCTGCTATCTTCTTTTTTTTTTCTTAACATATATTACATTATTTGTTTCAGAGGTACAGATCTGTGATTCAACAGTCTTGCACAATTCACAGCGCTCACCATAGCACATACCCTCCCCAATGTCTATCACCCAGCCACCCCATCCCTCCCACCCCCACCCCCACCCCCCACTCCAGCAACCCTCATTTTGTTTCCTGAGATTAAGAATTCCTCATATCAGTGAGGTCATGATACATGTCTTTCCTGAAAGTTGAGGAAGTTTCTATTCCTAGTTTGTTGAAAGTTTTTATGAAGATTAGATGTTGGGCTTTGTCAAATGTTTTTCCTCCATTGATCTGTATGTTCATATACTTAATCTTTTTGAGTTTTTTAATATGAATTTTATTGATTGATTTTCAAATGTTAAAGCAACCCTGCATTCCTGCAATTAACTCCACTTGTTCATGATGTGTTATCCTTTATAGGTATTGTTGGAATCAATTTGCTACACACTAAGAATTTTTTCATTATATTCATGAGGGATATTAAGCTGTAGTTTTCTTACAATGTCTTTGGGACATATTCTCTGCTTTTCAATTTTCTGAATATTTGTGTCAAATTGGTATTATTTCTTCTTTTACTCTTTGTTAAAATTCTCCAAGGAAACCATCTGAGTCTGGAGGTATTTTTGGTTTTTTGTAGGAAGGTGCTTAAAATATACTTTTTTCAGTAAATATAAGATTATTCAGTTACCTGTTTCTTCTTGGATGAGCTTTAGTAGTTTATGTCTTTCAAGGAATGTTTCTATTACTTACTTAATTTATTGGAATGAATCGGTCACAATCTTACCATATTATCCTTCTACTATTTGTAAAATCTGTAGTGATGTCCATTTCTCTCATTGATGATATTGGTTGATTGTGTCTTATTCCTTTTACTGATGAGAAGTTTATCACTTAGATTGATCTTTTCAAATAATCAGTTTTTTATTTCATAAGTTTTCTCTCTTTTCCATATCATTTTTGTTTCTTTGTTTTTGTTTACTTTCTTCTGTTTACTTTGAGTTTAATTTGCTCTTCCTTTGCTAGATTCTTAAGGTGGCAGCTGAGGTCATTGATATGATCATTTCTTCTATAGGTGTTTAGTGCTATAAATTTCCCTCCAAGTTTTGTCTGAGCAGTATATCACAAATTCTGATATTTTAATTTTATTAATTTACAAATGCTTAATAATTTTCTTTCTGATTTATTTTTTGATCCACAGGTTATTTAAAAGTGTGCTATTTAGTTTCTCAATACTTTAGAATTTCCCAGGTATCTTTCTTCTATTGATTTCTAATTTCATTGTTGTCAAACAAGATACTTTATGTGACTTGAATCCTTAGTTTATTGACAAATATTTTATGGCCTAGAATATAACCCATCTAGGTAAATGTCTCATGTCTACTTGAAAAGATGATAAATTTTGCTGTTCTTTGGTGTAATGCTTTATAAATGTCAACCAATTAGGTCAACTTGGCTAATAGTGTTTTCATATTTTATACTTTCTGATTTTTATCTGCTTGTTCTATTATTGAGAGATGGATATTGAAATGTCCAACTGTAATTATGGATTTGTCTATTACTTTTTGCAAATTATCAATTTTTGCTTTATGTATTTTGTAGCTTTGTTATTAGCTACATAAACATTTAAGATTGTTATGCCTTCTTGGTAAAATACTCCCTTTGTCATTTTAAAATGAATTT